TGTGGAATGTACCCTTCCAAACACATACATAGCATTCACAACCCCTCCACTCAAACAACTTCTGTAGATCCAACCGAAATAGGCAACACACTGGAAGACCTATGGTCAGAAGAGGCAAAGGACTCCAACTTCCCTCCCGAATTCCGCACTAACAAAACTCTCCTTACACCACCCTGTCCCTACCCCTTATCCCCAACAGCCCTTGAAATTGAAAAAAACATTACACTTATTGAACTTAACACAGGCATAAACTCTCTAAAAGGACACACACCTGGCCTAGACCGCATCTCTTATCCTATGATTAAAAATGCACCCATCTCCTATAAGCTTCGAATCCTCCACCACTTCAACAACATCCTAGACTCCCACATCCCCCAATCCTATAAAGCCCAATAAACCCCAAACCAAGCCCAACTCTTATGTTCAACCGGAAAATAATAATAAAAAACGGCACATCCCTCTCCCATAGCTTCCCCCTCGATAATGGTATCCCACAAGGTTCCCCTATCTCAGTCATCCTCTTCCTAATAGCCTACAACTCCCTAACCGACATTATCTCCCTTTCAAAACAAGTCAAGTTCACTGCCTGCGCCGACGACTTCCATCTTATTATCCAACACAGCCGGAACAAATCCGAGAATGGTGCTCATCCTCTGGATCCTCCCTCTCTCTAGAGAAATGTCAAGTCCTACATATATGCCGAAAAAGAAACTGCACAGCAAAAATAGTCACTGGCTCAATTAACATCCCTACCACCGACTCCATAAAAATCCTTGGCCTGACAATCAACAACCGGTACAACTGGCATTCTCACATAAACAACCTTAAAACATCCCTCTCCCGTCCCCTTAACATCATTAAACACCTCTCCTCAAAAAAATACAATTGCAACACCGCCACCCTCATCCAAATCACAAACCCCCTCCTCATCTCCAAAATAGACTACTGCCTACCCATCTACGGGAAAGCTCCAACCTCCATCCTTAACCGACTCAAATCCTCACAAAACTCAGCTATAAGAGCAGCCCTTGGTGCCTTCAGAACAACACCAACAAATAATCTGCTGACTGAATCAAAAATAAGCCCTATTCTAATCAGACAAAAATACCACACTAGCAAACTAGCAACTAAACTGATCCACTCGCATGACTCCCCAATTGGTAAATTCCTCAAACAAATAAAAAAAAAATACAGGTACCCCAGCACAATTGATACAATAATTGACTCCTGCAAATTCCTATCCCTCCATCTCTCCCCTGCTAAAAACTACCCATCCAAAAAATACAACCCAGAAATAATCATAAAAGCCACAAAAATAGGGATGTCTGTACCACTACAACAAAAACACAACACCCCCTATAACCATCCACCAACTTTTCCACTCTATAAAAAACTCCCTCCCCAACCATCAATTCCTCTACATCGATGGCTCAAAGACTAACGACATTGTTAGCTGTCCCTTTCTTCCTTAAGAGCCATAACCAACTCCAAAAACCACTCCTACTACCCCAGCGCAATCAGAAACATAATAATCAAACTCTTCCCCAAAATTATACTTATCTGGATCCCAAGCCACATAGGCATAAAAGGGAATGATAGAGCGGACAGAACAGCCAAGGAAGCTTAAAAGTATCCACTCATTCTTACCAAAAACTTCAACTCCAAAGATATCACACAACACCTCAAAAATTACTACAGCCACATAGAAAAAGATCTGCAAAACCAATGCAACCATTGGTACAAACATATTGCACTCAACACCCCTTCAAACTACTCCCTCAAAACTACAAACCTTAGCAGACAACAACAAATAATAATCAATAGACTACGTCTAGGCCACACACAAATCACAAACACCCACTATATTAATAGAACAATACAAAACACTTGCCCTTTATGCAATAATGCCACAATAGCTATAAAACACATATTAATCGACTGCACTGCACTTTCCCAACACAGAACCTCATCCTTCTCCCACGAAAACCCAACCCAACTCCTCGCAAACCCAAAAACAGAAAACTCTCCACAAAGCCAACCTCACCCACAAAGTCCTTTGTATAATATTAAAATCTGTATATATTTAATCAAGCGGTAGGCCACAGCAGCCAATGCTCAATATCCTATGTTAGCCTTTAGTTTACAACTAACCGCTAGCTTTATATAAATAAATAAATAAATACTCTTTACGGCATAAATCCAAGGTGTTCTCCCTGGGAAATCGGTTTGGGGACTCTTACAGCTATCACGCCTGAACCAAATAAATTTCTGAGATGGATCATGGCCATCCCTGAGCTATCATGGCATTGTAAAAAATTTCCACGGCAACTGTTTTGTTAGCACACATGTATAAATCGGACCAATTATATTCAGATTAAAAATTATTATTATTTCGTCTTGCGAAAACAAAGGACTTTTTGGCTGGACGGTCAGATATATTAGATATTAGATATCAGATATAATAGAGATCTTTGTGTTGCGTCAGCGGCACCACCCTAGGTAAACTGACTAACGTCGAATCCAAAACAAAACAAAGATCAAGCAAGCGCGCTAAGATTTTCGGACTTGGTTGACTTCAGACATCGAAATGTCGAAAAAGCTAGCAATAAAATCATGTTGTGTAGAAGTTGGGAGAGTATTAGTGAAAATATTTGAGGGTCAAATCACAAAACTAGTTCTTATTCTGAACAAGTCCTGCATAGTTCTAGTAAGAGTAAGCCCGATAAATGTTGTTTGTAGTTCTTGTATGCCACTTTAGTCCGTACGGGAGCCAGTTAAAAGACTAGGAAACTCCGCGTTGTAACAGGCTGGGGAAGTGAAAATGTTAAGGTAACCTTCCAGATGCCCAGACTTCCAAAGAAGATAATCAATATCGGACAGCCATAGTCGGATAAATTCAGATCGAGTAATTTTGTGGCCAGGAACAGCCAGGTACACCTAACCGCCAGCTATTTATTTTACGCACGTTTACCGGACGGAAGCGATCATATGCTGCTTGGTTTCCAGAGCAATTCGCACAACCGACCGTCTACGCCAAGCACTGAAGCCAATAAAATGGCATATAGAGCAAAGACCAGACCGCTGTAGATAATAATTCTTTGTATTTCAAAAGTATAAGTATCTTTAGTATCAATTCGCACAACTGACCGTCTACGCCAAGTACTGAAGACAATAAAATGGTTTACAGAGCAAAGACCAGACCGCTGTAGATAATAATTCTTTGTATTTCAAAAGTATAAGTATCTCTAGTAATGTCTTATGATACTGTATTTTTGTAGAAATACCATAGTGAGCCTCTGGCGTCATACTTTGGCTAACATGAATACTTTTTTTTGTCAAGTTGAGAATCTACTGGTTTACTGAATTTCCCTTAGTGTTTTCCCTGGGTAGTAGTCGTGCATGCAAAAACAGCTAAATTTACCAAAAAAAAACATATTTTTTTCCTGCAAGAAAGAGGATTTTCAAAGGACCAGGGTATGGAGAAGGCTGCGCCTTAGCATTCCTTTTTAAAATCGAAGCCAATTTGGGTCGCCAATTCTTGGTTCTCAGGGTCGAAAAACTAGATCTATTATGGGCAAGCTCGCGTACAACAAGAGGCATTCCGTGTAACTGCATGAGTAGGGGTCGAGAAGTGCTAAGTTAAAGAAAATTTTATATTTTGTGGAGCACACTAAACCAACATGTCTTTATTAAAGTAAAGTTTAGTATCAACTATTGTTCTTTTTTATTTAACAGTTAATACACAGTCAAAGGCATTCGGATGAAGCTATCATATTCTTTTGTATGTTCATTTTTATATGAATAAAAATAACAGGAAAGGAAGCTAACTTCGGCCCGTCGAAGTTTATATACCCTTGCAGATTGAAATTCGATCACTAGGAATTAATACAACATAATTTCTATTTTTTTTTTTTTTTTAGACGTCTGATTTTTATAAAATTAAAAAGAAAAATTCTTAAATAAAGCAATCGATCGTTTATATGGGAGCTATATGATATAGTAGTCCGATTTTCATAAAATGTTACACAAAATTGTAGAATAATATGAAATGGCAATATCTCAAATTCTGTTGAAAACTGAAAAAGTTATAATATTTAATGGTATTCATTTCTCGATCTTTTCTATTGCTGCTATATGATATAGTAGTTCGATTTTCATATAACTTTACACTAAATTGTAGAATAATTTAAAATGGCTGTATCTTAAATTTGTTGAAAACTGAAAAAGTTCTAATTCTTTTTTTTAATAATCCCATTTTTTCCATGCAGCTATATGGCATAGTCGTCCGATCCGTCCCGTTCCGAGTGTGATTATATAGAAGAATAACTACAAAGCTTCATTCAGATAGCTTCAAAACTGAGACTAGTTTGCGTAGAAACGGGCAGACGGACATGGCTAGATCGACAAGAATATATATGTATACTTTATATGGTCGGAGGTGCCTCCTTCACTGCGTTGAAAACTTCTGACTGAAATTACAATACCCTGCCAGGGTATAAATATATTCATTGCAACTGCAATGTCAGTGCACATGTATAGATCAAACCAATTGAATCCAAGTCAAGTCGGAGATGACTACTTAACTGCGTTGCGAACTTCTGACTGAAATTATAAAGGTATAACAACGAAAATCTGTGTTACAACTAAATTTTAACTTAAAAACATTCCGTCAGTCTTTCCGTGCATATGAAATAACAGGTCTCAGAGACCATAAGGATAGTAGTAGGTGGCATTAATATTTGTTACACCAAAATCGAGATTACTTTTAAATGTAGATTTTTGAACCACAAACTGAAGTAATCAATATAAATAAAATATAAATTCCCTTTTAATTATAATAGAAAACATGGCATAAGTGGCAGACAAGTTGTCTAAAAACTCCTATTAAAAATAACATAATTACTGGGTTAATAGGTAGCATATACCGAAAACAAGTATACTTTATTGAGTAAAAGCTTAATAATATGGCATATATTGTAAGAATGAAGTTAAATAATTACCTTTTGCTTATGCCCAGCAATTCGGAGAATTCCTTCCTCTCGAGTACCACGTCTCATAAGTTCAGTAAGCAAGTTTTCCAAAAAAAGGGGAACTAGGGTAGAATCAGTACCAGTAACTTGCTGATCACGGCGTATGAGGGCGTTTAGAGATATCCCAAAAAGGTTACCCTCCTCTTTTCTACGTCGTCTAAACGGTTTTCGTTTGTCTAATGACACTTGGTTACGATCAAATATGGTAGCAAGTTCCAACCAAAGGGTTTTTGTAAACGTTTAAGATCGAGTTCGCTTAATAAAACTATGTCTGAGACTAAATTCAAAGAGTTTTCAAATTTGTCAATTTTTTCGACGCCATCTGGACTTAAGGTATCACGGCAATAACTTTCAAAGCTGGGGCCATCCCGCTGTTGCGTAAAATGGCGTTTACTGCACAGATTTTCTGACTGGGCCAGTCCTTTATTCAGATCAATTGTTTTAGATTTAGTCATATACTCGTCGCTAGAATCACCCCAAGATGTATTGTGTTCACTATGAGATTCCCGTAGAAGTGTACCACGTTCACGTCTAAATAAAATTACGATTAGGTTATGGATTTTTAAATATATTTCTTAATATTTACCCGACAGAGCAAGATGGGTCCGAACCAGAACGGTTTCGCTGTAAGTGTATAGTCCCGATTCGTGAATATCCCAGCAACTCAACACCATGCGCAGAATATAATGGAATATCACATCGCACATGGGATCCACGAAATATATCCGCAGAGGTAGAACTTTTAAGCGGCGCACTGGGCGATCGCCTCAACTTCTGTTTTAAATGAGTTCCTTTCAATTGCTCAGTTGTTTTAATAGCGGAATTGCTATTGTTCTCAAAAACTCCAGTAAAATTTGACCTAGTGAAATTTCATACTAGATTAAGTACAGATATAACTTACATGATATACTTAGATATACTTACATGACAGCATTTTGCCACACTTCGACGACTTGTATGGAATCTAGAGAATCTGGAGTTGCACTGCGTGATCGTGTTCCTGTACTCGATTCCTAAATACATAGAGTAATATGAGTAACTTGGTTGACATTAATTTCCTTGTAAGTTTAAGAGCCTAAAAATCTTAAAATAGAAAGCGAGGAAAACGTATGCAATTTTTCAGAGTAAATGTGCACGCTGGCATTCGGCTTATGCATACAACTTAAGACTGTTGTGTCGAAGTCTTAAATAGATTATAGCCTAATTAAGGAAGATATACATATGTATATTCTTGGACGTTGATGCACTAAGGTCAGTACATTCAAATGGCCCGTATGACACCAGGCACGTGCCTGTTTGGGTTAGGTGTTAGTAGGCCCGATGGAAAATATAGGACAGAATACGAGGAAATTGACTACCGGCGTCCTGCCATATTGTTAGCTTGCATGCTTACTAAGTGTGTTAGTATTAAAGATTTTAATTTGGGAAGGGTATCTACGTTAGAGATTAGTGTGTACAAACCATTATAATTTGCACATAGCACTCTAAAAGGTTCATGCAGTTCAAAGGAGGTTCTACAGTGGCGCAACACTAGGATCTAGTAGTTCTACATGGTACATGGAAATTAAGCTGACTCAACAAGTCAGCACTTTCCACATCACCATGTATAAGGTTAAAAATAAAGTTTATCCCTAGCATCGTTCTACGATTGGCTAAGGACGGCAAGTTTATTAATAGGAGTCTACTAGAGTAGGAAGGTAATCTTTGGTTTGCATCCCAATTTAAACCGCGTAGAGCGAAAAGTAAAAAGTTCTTTTGAACCGACTCGATGCGTTTACTATGGACGCCGTACTGAGGGCTTCAAACGCAGCATCCATATTCTAGGATAGGACGAACTAAGGAAATATATAAGGATTTAGTAACATAGAGGTCATTGAATTCCTTCGACCACCGTTTAATAAATCCAAGCACACCCCTGGCTCTATTCACCATAGACGAAATATGATCAATAAAGTCAAGTTTTGGGTCCAAACGGACGCCCAAATCGTCAACAGAATTAATTCTTTCCAAAGAGCAGCAGTTCAGCGTGTAAGTAGCAAGCTCAGGAACGACACGAGAGAATGTCATTAGCTCGTCATTTCGAGCCATTTAAGTTTAATAAGTTTACACGGCACCAAGTTAAAATATGTTTGTGAATCCGACAGGCAGGCAACGTCATTGTATTGCACGCAAAGCCGCGTACATAAGCACTCTGGAGTTAGTCAAGACTTTGGGCAGGTCATTTATAAACAATGTAAACAATAAGGGCCCAAAATTGCTTCCTTGCGGGACGCAAGATGTAACCCTTAGAACATTGGATAAATTGTTCTTAAAGAGGACCTTTTGCGTCCTGCCATTCAAATAACTTGAGATCCAATTAAAAATCACTTGGAAAACTCATTGAATCGAGTTTTCTAACGAGGAGAGAATGGTTAACAGAGTCAAATGCTTTACTGAAATCAGTATAGATTACATCTGTCTGACAATTATTATGGAAGCCCCTTATAATATCGGAAGAGAGCTCCAAAAGATTTGTTGTTGTTGATCTTCGCTTAATAAAACCATGTTGACATGGAGAAATAACCGATCTACAAAGGTGTTGTAAGTAAGAGGGGTGATAATGTTTTTGAATAGTTTAGGGATGGCCGACAACTTCGAGGTTCCTCTATAATTGCTGGCATCCAGTTTGCTACCGTTTTTGTGGAGAGGACTAATAAACGATTCCTTCCAAATAATGGGAAAGTGGGAGGTTTCTAAGGATAATGTAAACAATTTCAGAAGGGGATAGCACAGGGCGTCGGCACAATACTTGAGCACACAACCAGGAATTCCGTCGGGACCTGGCGAATAAACTGGCTTGACACGATGAAGATCTAAAAGGAGAGATCTTTCGTTTAGGCTAGGACAGAAAATTAAGTTTAAGTTTGTTAGTTTTTATAATACTGCGCGTTCAGCACGGTAAAGTTTGACCGAACTGATAAATAAGATGAAAGGGCAGATTGAGAACCGGTGAATTTAAATTTAGCATACAGCCTAGATTTTTTATTTTCAAGTCGGCTTAAATCTTTAGTAAACCACGGATGTTTATTCGAGATTGGCAGATATTATAACGGAACACATTCAGTAAAAAATGAATTCATGGCACTGTAAAAAATATCCACGGCAACTGCCATCTCAGTGCACATGTATACATCGGACCAATTGAACTCGTGTATAAAACTATTCAGCCGTTCAAAGTCCGTCTTGCGAAAAGATATTCTATACACCCAATATCAAGAGTCACATCAAAGGTTGGATAATACGGATCTTCGGGCTACGTCAGAGGCACCATCCTTGCTAAACTGACTCTCGCATGATCAGAGACGAAACAAAGATCGAGCAAGCGCTGTAAGGAACTTCGCACATGGTTAACTTTAGACAGCGAAATGTCAAACAAGCCAGCGATAAAGTCATGTTGTGTAGGTGTATGGAGAGTATTGGTGGAATTATTTGAGCACCAAATAGCACCAGGGATATTAAAATCTCCTAGAACTACCAACTGGTCTCTATCCAAAAGTCTACTGGAAACCATCTGAATAGCGGAAAGGTGATTCCAATAAATAGTAAGTTCCGACAGTGGAGGCATGTAGGAACAGGTAATAAAAATGGAGCTACCTTTGATAGATAGCTTCACACAGAGGAATTCAACATCGTTGCATTCCTCGAAGATTAATAATTCTGACGTGAGTGAGGAGTCCACCGCTATAAGAACTCCAATCCCGCGTCTGATAGGGCGATCTAGCCGATATACTGTGAACACAGCTGGAAAAACTTCGGAGCTCAGAATCTCCGGCTTTAACCAGGTTTCTGTGAGCACAATAACCTGAGATGCAAACGAAAGGCTATCAGAATACAATTTAGAAAGCTTACTACGTAAGCCTCTTGCATTCTGATAGGAAATACCTAGGGAGTAGGTTAGTTTTTTGGATCGGGATTGGAAGACGTAGAAGGCGCAGTGGTATCATCAGGCCTGGGAAGAGTTATTCCTACAGGCCGCGTTTTCTTTTTCTTCGCCCCGAACTCCTTAACAACGATGTACTCTGGCCAGAAGTTGGGAGAGCAAATAGTTTTAAAGAGCTCGTTCCGGACATTTATTTTGAATGATGAAATGTCCCTTGCGTAAGAAAATTTGAACTTTTCCACCTTTATCTTAATTTTTTCGGCTCTGGTTTTGCCTTGTATAAAGGCGAGAACATCTTTCGATGTTTGGTCCGGGGAGAGCCGCGAGACAAAAATATGTCTCGTCGATGGAACCGCTATAAGGGCTTTGGGCAAGGCAGATTGGTTATCTGCCGTGCCATTGTCGGCCGGTATTCCGAGCCTAACACCCTAGGCAGATATATCGTTAAACACGGGACTTTGAGGGGTCAATATTTGCGACCCCCCAGGGGACAAAACAGAAACAGGCGGTACGGCCACTCCCGCTGCACATTCGGGTACCGAATCTTTTCTAGCGCTCGATCTTAGCACTCTTGGAATTAATGCTGAAGTCGATGGCTGTGCCGAGGGAGGCTGCTGCTGAAAGCCTGTTGCAGGCAGTTGGGGTCCGTCTACATGCTGCCCACCAATAGCAGTTTTGTTGCGCCTAGGAGACTCATTTAATAGCGTAAGGCTATTAAATTGGGTGTCCAGCGCCAAGAACATATCAAGAGTTTTAGGAAAACTCGTTAAAATGCCCTTAAAACCGCGTTTGGTTTGCCGCATGAAAGACATCATCTCCCTTTCTACATCGCGACAGGCCTCACAACAGAAACGCAGGCCGATGTTTTTTTTTTACATCGGCCACCGTCCGAGCTGCAACTCCAATACACTTGGCGTGCATGACGTTGTCGCACAGCCAGCAGCCGATTGTAAGGTCACCTGCAGCAATTGCCTTTTTGCAGGTTTTGACGAAACAGACAATATTTCCGGACATTATAAGGACTTACCACTGTACTTGTATTTGAAAAAAATAACAACAGAGCTATGAAGAAAGAAGTGGGCGCGAGAGCGAATGAGATCAAATAAGATAAGAAGTGCAGCGGCACAGCTAAAGTGAGAGAGTGGGAGATACGTAGATAAAACGTTTAGCTGTTGCGACGGCGCAAGCAAAAGCTAGACGAAGAAGGCACAAAAAGGAATGCAAAATATGCAAAAGCTAGCACTAGCAGCACAACTAAATTGGAAAATAAAACCAATTATATACACAAATTAGAATAGCTGCATGCACACGCGAAGTGAACGGGAAGTTATTAACACAAATTAGAAAATTTAAGTTAACCCCGGTGGTTAGATTCAAACTTTAATACAAAACGAGAGCGCAAGGAAAAAAACACGTCCGTTCACTTGGAAAGATGAAAGATCAGTTGATGATACCTCGTCATAGAGAGTGTTGGATAGGCGTGGCTACCGGCCTTGGAGTCATACACAGCGTCGGCAATTCCGCATGAGGGAATGCTTTTAGTTGCATCGGGTTCCGGATCCTGGTCGTGGTCGTGATGTGGTCACTCTGCAGTTGCGCTCGTGGAGCGGGCCTCCGGCTGTGGCTTGGTTGCCAAGTTGTGGTCCTGTGGTGACTGAACCAGGATGGCTGCTGTTGAGTGCGCCAGGGCGTCGGCTTGTGGATGCAACAGGGTGGTGCCTTATGGGTGCGCCTGTGAGGCGGCTTGTTCATGCGCCTGGGTGGCGGCTTGTGAATGCGCCAGCGTGGCGGCTGTTGAGTGCGTAGGCGTGACAGTTTTTTTTTTATATTCAACTTTATGTTAGTTAGATTGAAAAAAAACCTAAATTTACATAAATGCTTATAATTGCAAACGGGGCAAGGACCCATATTGTGCGGTACGGCTGTATCCACCCTGATCTCTGCTCCTGCTACCTCCTCCAAGGCGGCCGTCTTCTCGTCGTATCGTGGTGCACATCCTCATCAACTCCAGATCCGCACTCCGGGCAACCATCCTCATCGTCATGGCCGAACCTCTTGAGGTAGCTACGGAAGCAGCCATGTCCGCTCAATACT